TGCTGTGGAATATCGCAAGATCTCAATATGGACGAAACAAGGCTCAAGCTACAGTAATTCACAAAACAACCATCATTCATGCAGTCCCTACTATCCCTCTACGTACCCCTATATACCCCAACGCCATGTATGCAAATGAGACGCTCCACAGATAGCATGCAAACATATGTAAAGAACAATCGTAAGAGCAACGCCATCATAACCATCTCACTTATACCCTTGGTTCAAGTAGCTGTTTACCCATCGGCCCCATCTTCTCCATAAACCCATCTTCCCTTGAAAAGATACGCCGACCTCTCAACCAAGTCTCACGGACAACACCCTTGAGCGTCTTATTCTCATACGGCGAGACTTTATTGCGGAAGAGCATTGTGCTCGGCTCGACCTTTTGACACGGTTAGCAAGCACACACATTCATACACGCCACCATGATACTGAAAAAATTGGCCGTGACTCACCAGGAAGGTTGCAGAATCGTCGAAAACAACAATGTCGGCATCAAATCCTACCCCGAGGTCCCCTTTGCTCTTCTCCAATCCAACCTGCAGTGCGGTATTCTTGCAACACCAGCGCACGACTTCTTCGATGCTGAAGTTTGCATCGCGTTTTGTTCCCTCGGTCCATAGGATGGGTAGGCCGAGACCGACGCTGGAAATACCACCCCAGGCGCTAAAGAAGTCTCCTTTTTCCTTTTCATCTTCCGTCTTGCCCTCTGAGCTGGCGCTGGAGTCGCAGTTCTCGGGCACCAGGTGGGGAGGTAGAAGTTTGATTTCCGGTGTGCAGGGTGAATGATCAGAGACTACAGTCTTGATGACACCATCAGCCAGGTCCTGAAGGAGCTCCTCCCAGAGGCCGTCTTGGTTTGATTGCGAGCGGATGGGGGGACAGCACTTGTGTCTTGTGTCGCCTTCTTGGATGCCTTCGGCCGCAAGGGCGAGGTAGTGGAAACATGTCTCCGCCGTGATTTTGACACCTTTGGCACGTGCTTCGCGGATCATGGGGATAGCTTCGATGGCGGAGAGGTGCACAATGTGGAGTTGGAGCTCGGGGGCTAGGTGGGCTAGAGAAAGAATCTCTGCTACGGCGCAGGTTTCGAACACTGGGGGTCGGCTTTCAAGGAAGGTGAAGTAAGAGGTTAGGGGACCTTTTGGGGCGAGAGGAGGCAGGGAGCACTGAATATCATCGCCTACGGAATCGGTGATTGGTGGGATCATTTCAGCGTGGAACATGAGCGTTGTTTTCGAGTCTTTGAGCTCGATTAGAGCCTTCTGGATGTCTAGCGATGATACGGCCGGGAACTCTTCGACCTGGGGGAATGTCAGTGTCCCGTGGTAAGGTCAGTAGTTGCAGGTAGGTAGAACTCACACCACTGTCGCACAAGAAGCCTTTGAAGCCCCGTACACCCGCACTAACCAAGTCTTTGAGGTCTTTGTCATTACCGGGAATGATGCCGCCGTAGAAGCCAACGTCGACCCAGCATTTTCCTTTGGCAGCTTCGACTTTGATGTTAAGGTTCTCCACAGTTGTGGTTGGCGGTATGGCATTGAGTGGCATGTCAATGACTGTAGTAACACCTCCGAATGCAGCAGCTCGGGTACCAGTCCAAAAACCTTCCCATTCCGTACGACCAGGCTCGTTGAGGTGTACATGAGCATCTACCAAACCAGGAAGTAGGATGTTTGGGGAGTAATCTGTATATGCTGTACCCTCGGGGAAGTCTGACGCCGGAACTACGGAATGAAAGATGGATGTGATCTTCCCTGTAACAGTTGAAACAACGATAGTAGCCTCAGTCAATCGACCAGCGATTACCGCCCTCGAGGATGCAAAGACTGTGATGGGATGAGCCGGTTGGCTGTGTGGCATACGAGGCGGTGTCGTTGCATGAGGAGACATATTAACAACTGAGATACCAAGTTGGATAAGGAGAATCAAGCAGAGCAACTGCCCAGAATTTTGTGGAAGTGCTTAGCTCCGCGCTGAAGGAATAGGAGCTATACAATACAGCTCTGTTCTCAGTAAATGGGGGAAAGGTGGTGAGAGTGTCTCTGTTGAGCTGTAGATAAGCGTTGATAAGGTGCGGTGGTATTGCCCAGGTGCAAAGACGTAGATGGACTTGTCAAAGAATACAAGTGGGTTATACCAGAGTGGAATCTCGTGGGTAGCAATGAGTTGCTACAATCAGCTTGCGAATACTAGAACTTCAGAATTTGGGGTATAGTCCCTTATCTACCCGCCTATTTACACCATCCGAGATCCCCCTCGCCGAACCTAGGCTAGCACACTATCAGGGGCTGTGTATGTAAGTAGTCAGCAAGCCTGGAAAGTGTTACTCGATAGTAATTCGAAGATCTTACTAGTCCTCCATAGGGTTACATGAGCCAATCGAGCTTGTCTAGACCTGTCTATTCATCACGAACCGGGTCGTGGTAGTTGACGGCGTTGATCCAGGCGTGCTCCATGAAATCTTCCTTTTAGACATGAATCTAGTCTCATTCCTTTGCTGGTTTCGATCATGAACTGTAAGGTGTCTCAAACAGAGCCAGACCAGACAGCTCTCCCAGACGTCCAAAACGGTACCCAAATTAACCGTTGTGTGAATATCGAGGGACGTGCACGTGGTACTGATAAGCACATGCAAGGGTCTGGCCGCTGTAACAAAGATTGGTGATCGGCCCGATCAGACTACCAAAATCAGCGCAGGTACAACGAGTATGCATGCCTAAAAAGGCTACATTCCCTTCAGGATCTTGTTGCCTGATGATACCTCTTTATGTGGTGGCATGTCATATAACCATGGGTTTAGCGTCGGGCGACTTGGGCTTTACTCCGAGTGGTTAGAATATCCCTGTAGGTTCAAGTCCACGTCACAGCGGCAAATTTTTATGGTTATATAAACTAGCCTATAGTTAAGTATAAATTAGGGTAATTTAAGCAAGTAAACGTAGTTTTTATTACTATCTTTTTTAAACATGTTCTAAACCTATTCTTAATAATATATAGGCGTTCCTAAATACTATACTAGAGTTTAGTATAGCAGTACTAGATAATATATCTAAACTAGATAGTAATATTAGAGATAAATTTAGGCAACTATATAAAGTGCTAGAGAAGGATAGTAGTAGTAATATTAAGGAAGTAAGTAAAAGTAAATAGAATAAGTTTAGAATAGGTTAGTAACATGTTATAGGGGTATAATATATACCTTACTTATAGTAATAGTTAAGGACTACTACTTACACTAGTAATTATTAAGTATATAGCTATTCTCCTAGCATACCCTTAATTATATAGCTAAGGGTATAGGTATATAATACTAGTTTAGTAATATAAAGATAGCTCTTACCTAATAAGAGAAGAGGTGCTTATGTAGGCTATATAGGTAACATGTTAAGAACACGTTCTTAAATTATTCTAATTCTAGTAGGTATAATACTCCTGCTAGTCTATCTATCTTAACAGGCCTATAACTTTACTATTCTTTAATAGCTAGCTAGTAAGCTAGTATAAATACTAATGCTCTAGGGTAAAAGTATGTAAGTATCTTAAGAATATATTATAAACGTGTTCTTATTATGTTATTAATAATATATTATATAATTAGATCTAAACCTTAAAAAGTGTAGTACCTAAGAAAATTCTATAAAGAGAACTATAAATAAGAAGCTATTATTATAGCCTTATTAAGCGCTTCTCTTTAAGGATTTGTAAGGACTACTAGGTGTCTTATTATCCTATAATAAGGACTATAGTAAATTAGGTAGGGAGCAAAACTTAAATATGTTTAAAACGTATTAATAATAAGTTAGTAAATTATAGAATAGGCTTAACTATATATTAGCTATTAGAACTATAGCCTAATATCTACTACTAGGAAAAAATATTATTTTAGTTAGGTACTACTAGAGGTAGACTCTATATATCTATAAGGTCTTCTAACTAGGGAGATATTAAATCTTTCTAGTAGTCCTACTTTATATTCTGTAGTTAAGCTATAGTTAAGCTAGATAAAGAAGTGTGGTAGGTATATTGCAACCTATTCCTAACATATTCCTAATATATTCTAGGCGTTAATTATCTATAAGGGCAAGGATCTCTATTTAAAATCCTGTGTAAAGTTACCTTCTAAGTAATTATACTAATAGATATAGTAGTAATACCTTTTTTTACTATTATTTCTTTTAGTATATATATATATATACCTTCTCCTCCCTTAACACTATCTAATAGTAATATTAAGGAAGTAGTAAAGGTGTTGTAGCCTATACTTACTCTATAGCTTACGTAATATAAGTTATTTGCAACCTGTTATAAATATATTCCTAACTTATTATAGCCTAGTTCCTAAACTTAACCTAGCTCTAAACCTATCTCTAACTTAAAGGTTTCTATTCTATTAAAGAAATATATATTAGCTTTGTAAATAAAGATAAAATCTTGCGTATTATAAAGCGTGAAAAGCTTCTATAGTTCCTATTTAAGAGTAGCCTTAGAGGAGTACACTATAAGTAGAGGATAAAGTATTAGGATCCTAAAACTATATATAGTATAAGAGAATAGGTTTAGAACATGTTACTAACACGTTACTATAGGCGTATATACAGCAAATCTTTATATTAAGCTTAGGTAACTTAATTATTTACCTTTTTAAAGAGTAGGTATTAATTCTATTAGATTAAGATATATTCTAGATAGATATGTTATATAAGAGGTTATATAGGGTATAAGTAGAGATTCTAATAGTAATCTTCTACCTATAGGAAAAGAAGCGTACGCATTAAGAATAGGTTTGTAATATATTTCTAACACGTTATAGTTATTATACTTAGCTAAATTATTATAGATAAGGATATAACTAAGATATATTAAGTTGCTATTACTAACTTCTTTTAGAATTATAAAGTACTTATAAAAAGATAAGTGTTATAGAGGTATATTTACTTATAGGGATTCTATAGGACTACTATTAATATGTGTAATAAGTAGATAATAGGTAAGTTTTATAGCGTACTATAACATGTTTATAACGTGTTTCTAACTTGTTTCTAGGACTTAGGCGCTATCTCTAGTTAATTAATCCCTATAAGCGTAACTAGCGCTAGTAACTTTAATCTTGTATAAGATTTTATTAAGTACATCTATAAAGAAGTATTTATAAAGTATGTAAAAGAGAGCTAGATAATACTACCTCTTTATGTCTAAGTGAATTACTATAGGTATTAATAGTAGAGGAATACTTTTAGCTTACTAACCTCCTCTTACGTAAGTAAATATATTCTAAACCTATTCTAAACGTGTTCCTAACTTGTTCTTATATAATTAGAACACGAACCCTCTAAAGATACCTAAAACTAGGCAATCTATAAGAAAAACCTAGTAATTGCTACTAGGATTGTGCAATACTATAGTAAAATATTAAAAGAGGTATAGGAAAAACTAGAATCTTATTTAAATATAGCTAAGCAAGCAGGCTAGAAAGGATATAAAACTAGTAAGTATGTAAGTATTCTTAAGGCTACTTAGAAGTAAGTTTATAACCTATTATTAACCTATTAGAATTATATAAGTAATATTATATAGTGCACACTAGATAGATCTATAGGATATAAAAGAGTTTAAAGCCTAGAGCAAGTTTAGAATATGCTATAACTATAGAACTCCTAATAGGCTTAAGCAAAGGTACCTTAAAAAGCTTTAGAGGGGAGAAAGTAAGTCTTACGCTAGCGTTATATATATTTACTAATTAAAACATGTTTAGAATATATTTAGAACGCGTCCTATAATAATAATAATACTCTAGATAATAATAAAGTAAGTCTTGCTATATCTAACTTAACTAGATATATCTTAGTCCTAATAAGAAATAAAAGAGCACGCTTAAAAGCCTAAAGCTAGAGGGCAAGTAGTAGAGTAGTATTAGAAAGAAGTTTACTAGCCCCTTTTCTATCTTCTCTACTACTAGGCTCTTCTCCTCTACTAATAGCAACCTAAAGGTATGCTTTATAAAACACGTTTATAATATATTCCTAACTTATTATTAGTCTATAACTATAAACTTTGTAATAAAAGGCTCTTCTTAGTAATTAGGCTCTAAAGGAGAGAAAAGAAAAGCTAGAGGTAGATAAGGAAGAACTTGTATAGAAAAAGGCACTATTTAAATTGCAAAAGGCATAGTTTAAACTTAAGAAAGAGATAGCTACTTTTTATATAAGGTAGGGTTAGTCTATAAATATAGTAACTAGTTCCTAACTAGTTCTTAATATATTCTAGTCTATTATATAAGTATATATAAGTAGATAAATATATATTCTTTCTTCTTCTCTTTCTTCTTCTTTCTTCTTACACTCTATAAGAACTTTTTATATTTAAGAGTTTAATACTATTTTACTATCTATCTTTCCTAATATTATTAGATATAACTAGTTAATATAGTCTACAAAGATCTTTTAAAGTTAGTATATAATAGAACGCGTTAGGAATATATTGTAAACTTATTCTAATACTAAGTAGGATTTATACTAGTAATATATTAAGCTTAAGTTACTTCTATCTAATACTAGGGTATTCTCTCCTACAATATCCTACCTAAATAATAGGTGTATAGTATTTCCTAGCAAGCTTTTCTACTAGGCTATTTAGGCTAGATTAGGGGTATAGGAACTTTGTAGAGTATATATATATGCAAGTTAGAACACGTTTATAATATATTAATAACTATTTTAGTGTTGCTTCTCTAATAGAGGTAATCTTATCTACTACTTTAAGAGGTATTATCCTAAGGTTTAAATAGCCCTAGTAAACTATAGTAGAACTATAATATAAGGTATTACAGAAGCAAGAATCTTCTATAGGAGCTTAATAGTAAATGCTTAAGAACATGTTCTAAACACGTTAATAATACGTTCTCTACTAGTAGAGTAGACTACACTAAGTGCCTCCTTTAAGGTTTAAGAACCCTCTAAGATAGCTAGTCTATAATAAGAAGTGGTAGCTAGAGTAGAGGCTAAAGAGGAAGTAGAGAGTAAAGAAGAGGAGCAAATAGTTACTCCCCTTTACACTATAAATAATATTTAGCAAAAGTAGTAAAAAGGAGATATAAGTCTAGTCTCTTAAAATATATTTAGAATATATTAATAATACGTTATAGCTAGACACCTATAAATACTAGATTCTTCTTTAATCTAAGGGACTACTAGAGCTTTATAATACCTATAAAAGTAAAAAGAAAAAGTTATATAGTATTAAAGGACCCTATAAAAGTAAATAGTACTTTACTTTTAGTAGATAGAAAAAAAAGAGAAGAGTAGAGAGTTTATTTTAGTAATTACTACTACCCCTTTAGGTTATATACTATTATATATTATTTATTAGAACCTATTCTTAACACGTTCTTAATATGTTCCTACTTATTGCTATTATTATCTCCCTCCCCCTCTCTAGTATCTTCTTTATCCTCCCTATCCTCCCTAGGCTCTATAAAAGCATACTATAAGTAGAACTAGGCGGTATTCTAGTAGGAATTAGTAAGGTCTATACTAGTATTAAAGTAACAGTCTTAAAATATATTAGGAATAGGTTAATAATATATTATAAATAACTTACTATAGCTAGGATAATTATAAGTGTAGATAGTATAAGGAACCTAATAACCTTAAATCCTTAGTAGGGTAGATATAGTAATAAAGTTAAGCTATAATAAGTTAGTAATATATTTTTAATAGGTTCTTATAGGCTATACCTTATTACTATTATAGCTAGTATAAGTCTTCTTCTAAATTATATTTAGGAGGGTATTAGTATTTATAGGGGGGCCTATAGTAGCTACTAGCTAGGCTTAGAGAACTTCTATAAAATACGTTAGTAATAAGTTTTAAATATATTCTAAATAACTTATAGTAAGGAGTATTCTAGTAATTATATATAACCTTTATATAGAAGTCTATATATATTAGTATAATAAGTTAAGAATAGGTTAATAATATATTTACTCTTTACCTTATAGACCTCTATTATAGAGGGCTAGCTAGTCTTCTTAACCCTACTAACCTTATAGTAGGCTATATTAAGCCTATAATCTTTTTTAGCATAGGTATATAGAGTGCCCCTAGTACCTAGAATAGCCTAAGAATATTAGAACCTATTTAGAACATGTTTAGAACCTATTCTTACTCTATATAAGGTGCCCTTATTATTAATCTTAGTATAGTAGTAGCACTCTCTACTCTCTATCTTAACTACCCTATTAGGGCTAACTATAGGCTATGCCCTAATATTATCTAGGACGTAGCTAAGGGTAAGGTACTATTAATAGTACTTCTATAACCTATTAAGAATATGTTCTAAATATATTTTAATCTACTTATATAGGATAAGAGGGATGCGTTAGTAATAGGTATAGTAGTAGTAGCTTATAGTATTACTAGTATAGAATGTGTTTAGAATAGGTTTAGAATGTGTTGCAAAATCTTATAGTATAATATTTAGTTAACCTTGCTTAGCTAGCTAGTAGAGCTTAGCACGGCCTAACCCCATGCCGAATACGAGTTCACGCAGCGCTAATTCCATGGTCATATGAACTGCGCCCTCCCTCTTTATTTTCCGAGTGCTTACACGACTTTACCCGGTATACTGGACGTCACTTTGCTCGGATTTTCAATGATCTGGATGCGAGATCTGGATGTCCGGAGTGAACACCAGATCTATGGAAGACGCTAGAAGTGGTTAGCCAGCGTACGTCTGAACATGCCTTGACAATTACTCGATACTCATCGAGTAAAAGAAATTGACCTGCCAATCTCAGCCCTGCCTTACCGCCAAGCTAGCCCGACCACCAACGACCAAAGCTATATCGGAGACCGCCGACGCACGAGGTCGCCTGTGTACGAGATTTCAACACTGACACCTGCTGGATGTACGACTACGTGGGTGGTACTTTGAAAAGTTTTCAGCACGACGATGCAAATCGACTCTGAATGGAACATCAAGAGTCTGAGTCCCTCCATCTCTTGTACGACGACTTATGCGAACATGATAACAAGCGCTGCGTTTGGAAATGGCCGCGTGGACTTGATTCTCGTCAGCGGCAGATCACGGCAGGCAAGATCATTATTATCGAGTAATGAGAATAACAAGTCTGAAGTTGAAAAATCAGTAGCGCACCGAATTATCGTATACGGACCGGACAAAGTTGCATCAAGCTCGTTCGTGCATCATCGCCAACAAACTATCCAAGCACACAGTGCGCCGTGGAGCCTGCACATTGGCTGGAGATGAGTTGGACAATGTCGTGACTGTGTGAATGGGCCCATCGAGTCCGGGAACGCACGTCAAGCATGGTGCACAAGTCATTTGAGCCTTGTGTTCGGAAAGCTGCTGCGCGGAACACGTTCCCCGCACATGTTCCGAATGATGGAGGAAGCACTGCGTCGTGGCACCATTACTGTGGTTACGTCCTTCGCATAGCCATACAATACAGTATCTCAGCGAAAAGTATCGACAATAAAGCTGACCAAAGAACTGATTACGACACGAAGTGCCGAGCGGTCTCAGCTCAATCACTGTTGCAGGTGTTCTGCAGTCTTTAATGCCGAACCAAAGGTGCTACGACTGACATGCCGTCGTTGACAAACCAATACGCTGCACAGTTAGAATCCGCTTCGGAATTCGCAAGTAGATCATGGAAGAGGAAGCAGGAAAGAGAAGTTCGAATTTCCGTGGGAAGCCAGTATAACGACTTTGGCCATTGACAGCTTCCTTACGTGCTTATGGGGCATGAGGGTGTCTCTTGTCTTAAAGAGCGCACGTTGTAACCCGTACCTATGCAGAACATGCGAAGACATTCGTCTTGTGGATGCGCTCAAAGATACTGCTTGAGCATTGACTGCTTCCGAGGCAATGCTGACGACTTCGGCAACTTTCCTGTCAGCTTCAGCGTACGGGAGTTGTACAGGCTTGCCTGGAGGCCGTATTTAGGTGCCGTGGCGCTTCTAATATTCAGGTATGTATAAGCGTCATGCTTGTAGTAGATGGCCCGCCCTGGATGCAGAAGACCCATTATCTCCAGCTCCGCAAGTACCCGCGATATATCCTGGACATCGCGAAAATCCTAAATACTTCTGTCAGTAGGTTTCGAAGTTGCGAACCTGGAACTATACCTTTGTGTATATACATGTTAACCGTTCGTCGTTCCCATCATCAGCCGCGACTTTGGCTGTACATCCTAGGCGATTATCGATTACGCCTTGCACGACTTGTTCCCACACATGATTAGCTTCTGTTGATTTAGGAAACAACATCCACTACAACTACAGGTCAGCTTTGGTTGACAAAAGTCCTGGGTTGAGACCTAGTTCTCAAACTAGAACTCGCTACTCGTCCTTACCTTTCCAGTGAGTATGTGGTCTTCAACGGCGAGGTCTGCTATGCGCTGTTGGTGGTCCTTGCCCTCCTGTGTGAGTATGCTTTTAGAGATCCCAGATCCACTGGCCTGCATCTTCTGTCGATTCGATAGAGATTGCTGGAGTAGCTCCATACCAGTGTCTGTGAAGTGTTCAACCTGCGGGGATGGAGACTTATCCCACGGCTTGCGATGAGGATTCTCGACCCATATCCATGGACAAGTTGAGACTGTCGTTGTTTCTGGCGGAACACGATTGATGAATTCGTCCGGGGTCTCACCTAGCTGCCAAGAATCATATGATCCTTCACGAGGATTGAAAAGGTCAAACTTTGGCTGTGGTTCTGGTTGTGCTTTACGCTCTAGCTTGGACTGTCTTGCCAGACGTTCTCGTTCCATGCCATATCGATCGATCCCAGACATGTTGAATGGCGTGCTTGCATTCGATGGCGGTACGCCAGATGTTTGCGCTGAGGTGGAGGCACAAGGTGAAGGCTGAGTTGTGATAGCTTCCCCGAGTTTTTATTTCTTTGCAGCCATTCTCAGGGCGTTTGGTTCTTTATCGCGTGTTGACCACAAAAATCGCAAGTTGATGTTCTCGCAAAGCGCCTGCTGATGTTCTTGCTCATCAACGCTTCCTACAGCACGAAGTGAGCTCAATGCACGACAACGTGTGATTCTTTACTTGAGGGCAATATGATGTAACTTCTCAAACAAGGTCTACAGCAGTACTCACCATAGAAGCTTGAATCATCTGACACCCAACCATCGCCTGCCACCAAATGCTCCGCTGCCATTTCCCACGAGAGTCTGCAGTTTTTATGTCATAGGGGTAGCAATGTGGGAGTTCTTGAAACGAACTGACGTGCAATGAAATACTGCTACGCTGTTGATGGAGGGTATGACGACAACTGGTTACTACATTGGGTAGGAGGGAGGGGGAACAGGGGTACGATGCTCCTGCCGCGAGAATGTCACGCTAACGAGCCACTCTACGCGGTGACACTGGTCGCGCCTGCGATATTGTCCCCAAACTGCAGAAGCAGCAACACGACCATATTTTTCGACATGCCACATTCTATAACACCCGATTCTACGTCTGAAGACGTCCCATCACAAGAGATGTCGCACAAGGAGAACATAAAAGCCGAGCCAGAATCGCAAGATGTTGCTATGGAAGACGCATCAACACCACAGCCAGTAGCGGACAAGCCCAAAGTGAATCTGGAGGAGCTGTTCGACGAGGAAGATTCAGACGAGGAGTTTGCATCGAGTGCACCAGTAGCGACTTCTCAAGAAGAACTATCGCAGTCCGCTCCAATGTAATGCCGCTGTACAGCAGATCGACCCTCTCGGTATGGGCACGGACAGCCTACAGCAAGATAACCTCCACATCCTCGTTCTCCGACCCAGACATCATGCGCGCATTTTACCAGCGCATCTTCCCTTTTCGCCAACTCTTCCAATGGCTCAACCACGGCCCCATACCCTCGCACGATTTTGATCATCGAGAATTTGCATTTACCCTCCCCAACGAGTCATATCTACGATACCAGTCCTTTGGCACCGCCGATCTCCTGCGAAAACAGTGCATTGCGATGCTGCCCACGCGTTTCGAAATCGGTCCCATGTACAGCACCAACCCACGCGACCGCAAGACCCTGCGAAAAGCCAGTGCCTTTCGCCCCCTCATGAAAGAACTGGTATTCGATATCGACATGACGGACTATGATGACATAAGGACATGTTGCAATGGTGCCAACATCTGTCACAAATGTTGGTCCTTTATTACCATGGCGATAAAGACACTTGACATTGCGCTGCGTGAGGACTTTGGCTTCAAACACATTCTCTGGGTCTACTCTGGTCGTCGTGGTGCCCACGCCTGGGTCTGCGACAAGCGCGCCCGCGAGTTAGACGACCAGAAACGTCGCGCCATTGCAGGATACTTTGAGCTTCTCAAGGGCGGCGATCAAGGCGGCAAGAAAGTCAATGCCCGCCGCCCATTACACCCACACATTGAACGCAGTCGCCAGATATTGAAGGAGTATTTTCAAACCACCATCCTCGCTGAACAAGATCCCTGGGCGACCGAAGAGAAAGCACAGCATTTGCTGAACCTACTGCCCGACACCACTCTCCGCGCTGCCCTGCAGAAGAAATGGAGTTCCAGCCCCAACCGCTCCAGTGCCTCAAAATGGGCAGATATCGACAGTCTTGCCGAAAGCGGCAATTTATCCAAGACGCCCAAAGAACTCCTCGAAGCAAAGCAAGACATCGTTCTCGAATACACCTATCCGCGTCTCGACGCTGAGGTCTCGAAGAAATTAAACCATTTGCTCAAGAGCCCATTCGTCGTGCATCCCGGCACAGGACGCGTGTGTGTGCCAATTGACACAAGGAAAGTAGAAGAGTTTGACCCCTTGGAGGTCCCGACGGTCACGCAGTTGTTACAGGAGATTGATGACTGGGAAGGAGAAGAAGGCGAGAAGAAGTTGCAGGACTGGGAGAAGACAAGTTTGAAGCCGTACGTTGACCACTTTAGGCGGTTCATTGCCGGATTGGTCGAGGATGAAAAACCTGTGCTGAAGAGGGAGAGGGAGGAGGGGGTGGACACTATGGAGTTTTGATCGTATTGCATCGTAGTGTCATGAGCGGAAGACATGCATGATTATGTATGGTTCCGATACATTCGCGTGTCGTGGCACACAATAATATAATCTGATTGTACATTTCCAATGTTCATATTGGGATGTAAGTCATCTGGAAGTGCCTGTTATTTAAACATGAGTGGAAAGCTACATATTGTACTGTTCACGATGGTATCCCCGTAACTAGGCACCACTCCCCACTGCCCCATTTTACTTTTACTTTCTGCTCGCCCTCTGCTCTTTGTCTGCAGTTGTCTGGCTAATGTCGAGACCCAGACCCTTGCTGTCCAGGTAGACCTTGTTGTTGGACTGCTGCAAGATTTGTGCAATGTTTCTGGCGTTCTCAAACTCCCTCAGGTCCACGTACGACCTCGACTTCTTGATAGCGTCACCAATCAATTCAGCGGAACGAGCCTCACCCTGGGCGCGGACGACGGTGGCTTGCTTCTCCTGGCGGGCCTTGTCGACGACGAAAGCGGCGCGTTGGGCTTCTTGTTGAGCGACTTGCTTGGCTTCGACAGCGGCGGTGAACTCAGGGGAGAAGGCGAGGTGCTGATCATTGTTAGTAAGGTGGGGAGATGAGGAGCAGAGAGGGGTAATGTACAGTAAGTGAAACATCATCAAGCATGATGTTGAATCGCGCTGCTCTTCGCACCAAGTTGTCCCGCACCAGTCTGCTGACGTTTTCACGCTGGGTAATGAGTTGACTGGCATTGAACTGCGCCACCACACTCTTGAGCACCTCGTTGACAATCGAGGGCAAGACACGCTCGTCGTAGTCTGTGCCAAGGGTCCTGTAGATTTGGGGAAGAGCGTCGACGCGCGGTCTTGAGAGCACACGACAGGTTATGTTGACCATCTGCAAGTCCTTGGTTCCGGTAAGGGAAGCGACATTTCGTGGTTTGGCACGGACATCGTACATGATGGGCGTCTCGAACCATGGTACCCGAAAGTGCGTTCCTTCACTGTAAATTTCCTTCTGCACACCACCGACACGGGTGTACTTGATTGCTCGGTGACCACCGTCCACTGTTGCCTTGTTAGTGCCAGTGCATCTTCACAGGGTCTAAGCAATGCCTCAGCATGTCCGACGTGGGTGTATACGCACCGTTGAACAGCGCATTATTCGCCAGCCATATGCCTCCGCCCACCAAGACCAACCCTCCAATGCCACTGAAGAGACCCTTGGGCGCGCCACCTCCGCTTCCTCCGAACCTGGCTCGCTGGGTGAGCTCGCTCTGAAGGCGCCTCCACGCTTCCTTGGGATCGGGTGCGGACATGGTGATTTTGCGGATGTGTGGTTCGGCGCGGGGTGGGAGAAGCGTATGGGCGGCAGCCGGTGGAGCGCGATGGTGAGGTCGACGACGATGAGAAAATGGTAACGGCGAATCAGGACCGCCGACGCAAGGTCTGTGCCAAGACCTTACCCTCACATCTGCGGGCGGCGCATCTAGGTCCCTAGGCACAACCACAACCAATTGCTTTCATAGGGCTCATGTCTACGAGTTCTACTCTATGGTAGTTGGACCGAAATGCTTGATTCTGCTCTGTCCCCTAACTATATGTCGGATCTGCTTTTGATAACCCGCTGTTTCGTCTCAATTGTAGGCGAATGATGATGATGACGTTAGAGCACCTAGTCGCTGTCATGTGCATTGGCCACCCAATCAGTGTCATGTGTGTCCTCTAAAGCACAGCTGTCCCCAAGCTTTGGAGCATCCCATAAACGTCAGTTCGGCCCATCTGGAGGTTATTTTTCTTTTCGCCATACCTATCCATTTCAAGATACCCAATTGTTTCTTTGTTGTCTGCCTCAATTCCTTTGTAGCCGTCTTTGAAGCTTTGCGACGCCGGCGCATCCCATCATCAATCTTCTGAAGGTATGGCCAGAGTCCAAGGCTCCAGACCTTCAGCAAAACTGACAATGGACAAAAAGCTGTGAACAGGGCTTCAAAGACACTTGTAGATTGCCTCATTTCTCTCGTCCAATTCTTGTCAACCTGGACGTCACTCTTGACCCCACCGCGCGCCATGCATCTTAATTCGCATTCGCTGCGTACCATTGCTTGGTCGACCCTGGCATTCACGACCGCACATGCTCAATACATAATTGAGAACCTCAGTTTTGGCCACAAGGATGGCGCTTACATCTCTTCCGACCTTATGACAGTACCGAACTTCGTCATCCAGGGCAGCGGAGACTACGTTCCTCAGGTCTTGTCCGACCGCATACTCCTCACACCTCCATACCCAGGGAACATGCGTGGATCAATATGGGCGCAGCAACCCCTACACCACTCTGGCGATTGGACTGCCGAGATTGATTTTCGAGCGACGGGCATGGAGCGTGGTGCTGGCAATCTCCAGATCTGGTATGTCAAGGACTCGCAGGCACATGAAACACCGACAAGCTTGTACACTGCGCACAAGTTTGACGGACTGGTGCTCGTGATAGACCAGTATGAAGGTCATGGGGGTTCCGTGCGAGGTTTCCTGAACGACGGGAAAATTGACATCAAAGCTCATCCTGATCCTGACACGCTAGCTTTCGGAAAGTGCGATTACGCATACCGCAATCGTGGCGAGCTCACTCCCATTAAACTCCACCACGCCGACGGTTTCTTCGAGGTCATCGTAGACGGTGCATCATGCTTCAAGACCGACAAGGTACGTCGCCCACTCCCCTTACATTGCATTACGTCCACCATTAACATGCCATTCCAGGTCCATCTTCCCGAGGGCTACTATTTCGGCATCAGCGCCTCCAGCGCCGAGAATCCTGATTCCTTCGAAATCCACAAATTGATTGTCTCCACACGCGACGAACCTAACAAACAGCACAAACAGGAAGACCCGGTCATCTTATCACACCACCTAATTAATCCAATAACAGCAAAAGCCCTTTACCCCGAACCGGGAAAAAAAACCAAC